TGTCTTCTATTCCGTGTATATGACTAGGATTGGAGAACCCCTCTGGTTGTGGCCTTTCAGATTCAAAAGTTTGATCTTCAAATGGTGCACTTTCTGGAGCTGGTATGTTCAAGATATTTTGTTGACTAGTGTCTGTTTTAGTAATCAAGATCTACGAGATCGTTTCTAGATCTTCCGTTTTGTTTTAAGATCTATATGGAAATTGATTTTCATGGAAGCCTACAACTCTAGAGAATATATATTTGTTATTTTCAGGATCATATAGCCTATATCATTTTTTTCTTGCAGTAAATCCTAAAAAGACTCATTTGAATGCTATTGGAGCAAATTTGTCTTTATGCAGTTGATTGTTTGTTGAATAGCAGAGACACCCAAAAACCTTGAGCCAGCTGTAGCCTGGAGGTTCATGATGTAGTATTTCTTATGGGGTCTTCCATTCGAGGACTTGGGAGGGTAATCTATTTATTATGTATATGGCATGTAACACAGCTTTTCCCTAAAAGGTTAATTGCAGTGCTGCTTGGAAGATTATAGCTCATGCAATCTGTAGCAATTGTCTGTGTTTTCGTTCTGCTCCCCTGTTTTATTGTGGTGTATAAAAACAAGTTGTTTGATGTATTATTCCAAGCTCTTCAAATGCATTCTGACATGTGACACCCAGAAATTCATCGTCATTATCGCTTCTAACTGTCCTTATTTTAGCACCAAATTGTCTTGTGATCATCTTAATGAACCTCCTTAGTATAGAGCCAGCTTGTGCCTTGTTTCGCATAAGATATGTCCATGGGCACCTGTTTTTATATTTCACAATCGTTAAGAAGTAATATGCACCAGTTGATGACGGTTGATTATATGGCCCCCACACGTCTACATGAATTAAATCGAAAATTATCTGATTTTGTCTGCTGTTGTTTTCAAATGGTTATCTTGTTTGTTTTGCCTTTGCACATATATCATATGACTTAGACAACTCTTCTTTATTGATCTTGAAGTGTAGTTTTTATAGAACAAGTAATGATAGATGTCCTAACCTCTTGTGCCAAGAGGCTGAAGTTCCTACTACATTGTTTATCATTCCATTTTCCTTTAACAGAGAATTTTGGACACGAGTACAGGGACTGTTGGAATCAACATCATATTTCTTTATTGTTTCTAGCTGGAAGGAGGAAGGTTCAAGGCAGTACAGGTTGCCGGAAGACTTGCTCACAATTATCATTTCTTTAGTCCTACGGTCTTGTAATAGACAGAAATTAAGAAAAAAGATGAAATCACACCATTATTTTTGGCTAGCTTGCTAATAGATAATAGATTGTGGTGAAATGAGGGTATGTATAACACTCCTTTTAGATTTAAATTGCTATTCAAGGTTATGTCACCAAAGTATTCTACCCTTAAAACTGTCATTTGGTAAGTGAACTAAATTGTGCCTTTTTATTTTATCCAACTAGTTGAATAAGGAACGTTTTGCACAAATATGATTGTTTGCACCTGTATCTATTATCCAACATGTTTCTTTCGGAGTTATGTTAGGTATTGTACCTGCGAACTCATATGTATAGTCCACGAAATTATGATCTGTTGCAGCTTTTCCCTTCAGCACTTTTGATATATCTTCTTGGATCATCTCCCTCATAGATGTTTTTATTTCGCTCCCTTTATGTCTTTCAAAATTGTTTCCCATTTTCTCATCATTGAAGGGAGTTTCTGCCACATTCACTCTTGTTTTATATCCAACAGACCCTTTTTTTTTTTTTTGCCTCAGCTCTTTGTACCAATCCGGGTAGCCGTGAAGTTTAAAAGACGTCTCCTTTGAATGTTAATTCTCTTTGCAGTAGTTACAAAATTTGTCTTCCTTCTTTGTTAGTTCCTTCTTTTTGAAATCATTTCTTTCTAGACCAGTGTATCTTTATGCATTGAACGATGTTAATAGAACTGTTACATCCATTCCTTCAGTAAAGATATTTGTCACTTGTCATTGTCTCTCTATGTTCATCACCATTGAGTATACTTTATTGATGTGTGCTAGAGGGTCAAGTAGTAGCATCTGGTTTTTTGCTTGGTCGTATGTGTCACTGAGGCCCATGAGAAACTACATTGTCTTTGAACTCTTATTTAGCTTTAATATCTGCTCTGAGATTCCACATGTGCATTTTTCACATGTACACTGTGAAGTTGGAATTAAACTGTTCAGTTCATTCCACAATCGACACATCTTGGTGAAGAATATTGCGAGAGAGTCATTTTCTTGAGTAATAGATCCTAGTTCTCTCTTGACTTTATATACTTGAGGCCTATTTGATTAATCGAATCTTCTTTCCAGCTTATCCCACGGTTCTTGTGCAGAATTGACGTATAAGAATGAATCATGAAACTCCTTCAAAAGAGAGTTTAAGATCCAGAAAACCATCATCGCGTTATTTGCGAACCAGTCTTTATATTCTACCGATTCTTCAGCCGGTATTCTTATTTTTCCAGTCACGAATCCTAATTTATGTTTTGCTGCTAGTGCAAATTTTACAGACTTGCTCCAAGTTTGATAATTTATCCCATTAAATGGGACTAATACAAACGAAATTCTTGGATTTTCATTTGACTAATTCATCATCAAATTTCTCGCAGTTGTAAAGATATTTGTTTGCATCCAATCATTTTCTAAATCAGCTTTGA